TACAGGGTGCGGCCGTAAAACCTTTCACCTTTGGCACGCCTAGCAAAAATCGAATTTCAAACATACATGCCTGAAATTGGGCACACGAACGTCATTTATTCTAAAGTTTTTTGCCTATTTTTTTTTCAGACGTCAACTCGGGAGCAGCGAATTAGAAATATAACAAAAATGGCAGACGTGCATTTCCTATGGCCTACACCCGCCCGTTCGTCGTCTGCTATCTGGCTCGCGACGCCGCTCCCGGGTGGCGCACTGAACGCAAAAACGCGGGAAACGCCCCACGAAAGGCTGGTGTCGGGAGAGATAATCGCGATAGAAAGTGATTTGAACGAAATATATGAACGATTGTTGAAATTACCTGTTTCAAGTCAAGTTTTGACAGATCGTCATGCAAGCAAGAAGACACCATGATGCGACGACATCATTTATTTACAGCCTGGAATAGCAAGTGGTGCTGCTACCGTTGCACACAAGTTCGTTTTGAGTTATCATTTCATTCTGATTTTTACAGGGCCGCTGTAACACATAAAGTATTTTTTTTTCATACAGCTTGGGTATAATTAACATACATGTCGCGAGACATATTTGTAAAAAAAAAAGAAATCATATTAATTGGAGCAGAATTAACGGCGCTGGAGTCATTTCGGATGGCCGGTGATAAAATGGCTGGTATTTGAGAGAGATAGTCGTCTTTTTGCTGGTTTCCCATTGGTACCTCTATCAGTAGCCTCTACTTCGCTCTTTGCGTTCGGCAAGCAGCACGAGAGAAAGTAAGAGGGAAACTAATAGTTTAAATTCCGTCAGGTAGTGGAAGTTGTGCGTTCATTCAATTGTTTATTCTTGAGAGATAAATCTTCTGATACGCCTCTTCTGTCACGGCGATTTGAAATAATGTTGATGCTGCAGCGGCCCTTTAAACGACTAGGGTTCGGCCGATTCGATGTGCCCGCCTTTTACAGACACGCAAAGCCGAAGTGGAGCTTCGTACGCCAGGAACGCCCTTTCGCGCATCCCATCGTCGATCTCGAGGAACGCGCCATCAATTTTTTCTTTCAGCTCTTCGATGCTGGGGATCCTCTTCTTGTAGACAAGTCCTTTTATAAATCCCCATACGAAAAAATTCGCACATATTTAAGTCGGGGGATCGTGGAGACCAGTCCATATAATCTGATCCCCGACCCATCCACCGCCGAGGGAACGTGTTATTGAGCCATGCCCTCACACTCTTTGCGTAATGGGGAGCCGACCCATCCTGCATGAATATGCAGTTTTCTTTTGTCATGTGGTACTTTTCAAGCTCAGGAACCATTTTCGTTTTCAGCTTGTCCAAGTAGGCATCTGCGTTAACGGTGCCATCGAAAAAAAAGGGGCCCACTATGTCTTCACGCCAAATCCCACTCCACACTGTCACCTTTGGTGAATGGAGATGCCGTTCGTCCACGACATGAGGGTTATCGCGAGCCCATATCCTGCTGTTTTGGCGGTTCACACGTCCAACTAGGTGAAAGTTTGCTTCGTCACTAAATAAAAGAAATTGCAGGTGCCCCGGGTTGCTCTTAATTCGCAACAACTCCGCCTTGCAAAATTCTAAACGTCGGACGTTGTCGCCGTCGTGCAGAGCTTGGACAACTTGCATCTTGTACGGGCGCAAATTCTTTTTCCGCAGAATCCGTCGTACGATTTTTTTCCGAAATTCCAAACAACCTGGCTGCTCGTTTTGTTGACAATTGCGGGTCGCTCTCGAAAACAGCAAGCACCGCTTCAATGAGCTCCTCATTTTTCAGCAGGCTCTCACGTTCACTGACTGGATTCTTCTTTTTAAAGTCTTCTCCACTCATAAAACGATTCCCCAAGTCAAAATAGTCGGGCGTGAAGGCGGGCGTTTATGAAATGCAGTCCGAAATTTTCGTTGTGCTGTGGTCACCGAGTTCCGCTCCACGTACCACTTGACTGCCTGGGCACACTCACTTGCCGAGTATTGCGGCATCGCAGGGCGGCGCGGAAAATATTTTGATAATAACTGCAGAAGATAGTGCAACAAAAACAATAAATAGGAACAATCAAGATGCCTCAGCAGCGGCACTCTTGATTCCAAAGTTGAGCTTTCACCGGGAACGGACCCGTCAACAGATGAGCAGACGACAAAGGAAGACACACGTTCGTCTGCTTTAGAACATATTTTTAAAGGAGGGCGGCCGCCAGTTTCTAAATTTCAAGTAAAAGGGCATAATCGTTCACCCCCATAGTTCGGTAAAATCACTTTTTATCGCGATGATCTCGCTCGACACCAGCCTTTCGTGCGGCGTTTCCCGCGTTTTTGCGTTCAGTGCGCCACCTGGGAGCGGCGTCGCGAATTAGATAGCAGACGGCGGACCGGCGGGTATAGGCCATAGGAAATCCACGTCTGCCATTTTTGTTATCTTTCTGATAATTCGCTACTCCTGAGTTGACGTCTGAAAAAATAGGCAAAACACTTTGGAATAAACGACGTTCGTGTGCTCAATTTCAGGTATGTACGTTTGAAATTCGATTTTTGCATAGGCGTGCCAAATGTGAAAGTTTTTACGGCCGCACCCTGTATGTGTAGCATTTATGCTTTCTAGCACTGGTGATATAAACAAGCTCAACAGGGTTGCAAAGACGGTGCGACCGGAAGGCGCTTGGGATGCAAGCGGCAGTTCATGTTTGTAAACAGCCGAAGGGCCTATACCAAATGATTGACGAAAGAAAAGTAAAAGCATTGTACCAAAACTTCTTTTTTTATATATATATGAAAGATTTCATACGCTGCGGTTTTCGCGGCAGCTTACGCAACCCTAATCTGTACCGACAAACGCATGCGGGGAGCGCTACGTGCTTCTCATCGTTATGAGGCGCGCGCGCCTTATAATCTACCACGTGGCTCCGATACTTATTTTCTGGTTTTGTTGTCAAAACCCGACCTACGAGTTAAATGCCGTGTCAAAACCACATGATAAATGATGAGGCGTGTGCGAACGGCGATAAGGCGCGCGCGATGGTTTTCAACACGAAAAAACCCGACCTAATGCCGCGTTCACGTTTGCGAACCGGCGGCCGAATCCGCGAGAATTCTGACGCTCGGCAACTAAAGTAAGCAGAATTTCCGGCGGATAGCAAGATCGCACTGGGACCAATTTTGAACGCCGGAAAAAAGTTTCCTCTCGCCGCCAGCCAATCAGAGCGCACGGGGGAAGTGGCGCTTGCTGACGTCAGATCAACGCTGACGAGCTGGCGACGGTGGACGATGGCGACGAGACGCGCGCCGGCAAGGAGGAGGTTTGGGAGCTCTCGTCAGCTCTCGTCTCTTCGGGACGCGCTGCGCCGCTCGCGCCGCGCACTCCGCCGGTGGCAACAAATGTGAACGGCCCGATTTTTTTTCGGCGAGCGAATCCAGTCGCCGGCGAGTGCGTATTTCGCAAGTGCGAACGAGCCATACGAGTTGTATGCCGCTCCGCTGTAATACAACTTTGAAGGATCTCAAGGACACCACCACCAACCGACGGGGTTAATATTTTCACGTAACCTGTCAAGCTTTAGATAAATATTTATATTGATTTGAATTGCGATTTATTCAAATCTCAGCTAACCAGAACAGCAGAAATACTCCTTTTCCGACAAAAGAGAGGAGCGGTTTTCGAGCGCTTCAATTTTATTATTTATCTTGTCTTTGTTTTGTACATGTGTCATACAGGTCTAAATAGCATTATTTCTTTGCTTGAAAGTTATACCTTAGAAGAAGCGACGTTTTTGTTTTTCTACGTACCTTGTTATTATGTCCACTGTCGGAACCGGTAATAGAAAATTGTAGAGCCCATCCACTTCACGTGAAGATGGAGGACCAGCGAAGCTGTTATCTTTACGACACCTTTACGACAACTATATGACATCCGTACGATTTACATATGACTGCATTGAAGACACGTACATGACTTCGTTCATTATTTGTCTTCATTTCATTCTTAGTGACTAAAGTGATCATTGCCTTATGACAGGGGTGGCCAGAGTGATATGGGGTTAGCGGCCGCAGACAAATCTACAAAAATTCAGAGAGCCACAGGGGACAGCAAAAAAAAAAAGGGGGGGGGTGGCTACTTTTAACACGAAACGATATGGAGGTAGCAGTCTTTTTTCAAATGGGACGAATTTAATTGACGACTACAATAAATAACTCCTGGCAGCAGAACGTTTCTTCAACCACTTGGCAAAAATGAATGTATGGTGCGCTAGCCAGCCACTGCACCCTGACGCCCGCTATGCTTATACAGTTAAAAATTGTTTCTAAAACAATACAAAACAAAGTCACTGGAGAGATCTATGTGTTAAAAGTCAGTCCAGCTGTACGTGAGGAGGGCCTTCGTCATAATACAAGCCTACAAAGACTTTGAGCTTTTTATTCAAATTCTAGAAATCTTATCGTCCTGGGGACACAGTGAGGGAAGTGGGGCTAGCTTACCAGGGAGCCGCCAGCCACACTTCGACCCGCGAAGCGCCGCATGCGGCTCGCGAGCCGCAGTTTGGCCACCCCTGCCTTATGGTCACCTATGGGCAAGTTCTAAACTCAATTTTTTTAATCACACCTCGAGGATAGTTTTTTTTTTTTTTTTTTTTTTTCATTGAGCCCAAGTCTTTTTCTTCGTCGCAGTGCACTCTTAGCTAAGTCGGTGACCGTAGGTAATAACAAGGGATCAGGACCTCGCTATCTAATAATGCCAAGAAAGGCTGACTCACGTGGATTGTTTCCTCTTTTTATTTATATTTGCCACGACCAATCAGAACAAAGGAACGCTGTTTAAACGGTAGGTTTTTGTTAACATCCATGGACGCAATTTTTTCCAGATCCTAGCACATAACAGCTTCGCTGTAAAACATGCACAGTCAGAACAATTGAGATCCGTCGCCATTTTTTTTCGTCTTAGAAAGTTACCAATTGAAGGAAAAGTGCGAATGTAACACCATACATGCCATGGTGTCTCTTTTAGGGCCACACCAAGAGCGTCTTCCCCGTCATATTCGTTCCCGCTGACAACATGCTAGGTGCTACGAAGGAAACTGAAGACATCGTCATCACGGGCTCTCACGACTTCACTGCCCGGACATGGGGACTCTACTCCGGCGAGTGCCTCAAGGCGAGTAAATTTGCACATTGAAAACAGCCTCGAATAAAGATGAAAAAAAAAAACAAAAAAAAAATTCGAAACAAATAATTTATAGATGCTTTTAGGTAGCCGTGCTGGGGCGCCGCCATAACCGACCTTCCGTTTCGGTTTCCTGGTATTCCGTTCGCTACACTTTATCATTACCACAGCAGGGCAGGTTGTCGTTACTTTAGGTACTACGGTGTGCTCCACGAAGGCATAGATAGGCCTTCGTGGAGGTTCGTCAACGCTCGCTTCAGTGACTCAGCATCTCGGTAAAAATAGGGAAGGTCGGCAATGGTGACTCTATCCGGCGCGTGTTTAGCTGTCAGAGGCGAACGCTTGATTGAATCCAGGGTTTTATCTTTAAAGCTGTAAGCTTTCCTCACAGCTACGGCTACGGGCACTCGAGGGCGGGCACAAGCCCCAGACTGGACGTCCGGTGATGCACTGATTGTACCTGAGCCCCGATCGAGTGCTGACGCATTGCTCTTGTTCAAGTTATGATCCACATTCGGCAACGTGGCCCCATGACCATCTCAACATCATGAACCTCACAACTTTGTTAGCAAGCTTCTAAAAAAAAGAAACGCGAAGAAATAGTCGACTTCTATTTTTGTCTGAGTAGAATACTGTTTTAGTATACTGCTGTTATGTACGTTTTATGTAGACTGCGTACATCAGGTTTAAGCTGAATATTAACGTTACGACGAAAATAATCCCTGGAGAAGGGGAACAAGAGGGACAAAGGACAAACACAAATCTCCAAACACAGCTAGGTGACTGGTACGCGACCGAAAAAATCCGCCTGGTCCGGGTATCGAACCCGGGACCTCTCCATTACAGGTAGAGCGCTCAGCCAATTGAGCTAACCAGGGGTTAGACATCAGTAGAGCAAACGGGTCTTATCAGCCACCACGAGTCTAACACCAACAAGGGTGAAGCTTGCAATTTAAGGTTATGATTATAATGCAATTAAATGCAAAGGTGCAAGCGAGCTGGACAACAATGACGAAAATAATCCCTGGAGAAGGGAACAAGACGGACAAAGGACAAAGGGACAAGGGACAAAGGACAAAGGACAAAGGACAAAGGACAAAGGGACAAAGGGACAAGGGACAAAGATTTGTGTTTGTCCTTTGTCCCTCTCGTTCCCCTTCTCCAGGGATTATTTTCGTCATTGTTGTCCAGCTCGCTTGCACCTTTGCATTTAATTGCATTATAATCAAAACGTTACGACCCCTTTAAGAATAGGCTTTTATCTGCGTGATTAACGGATTAACGTATAAACCCTCAAATAATTAAAGAAGTAAAAGCAGTACACTCTAAGAAAAGCCCGTGCATAGAAAAAAACAGTATATAGGCAACGGCGTGACTTGCTTTATTGCCCACTCACATTTAAGCTGATAGTGCGGTGCGAGCTACGTCCTCGTCGGACGAATCAACTAGCTCCCCTTTATAACCTAACTACACTCTCTGGTTGACGTATGGCGGGACCAACGAACTCCTAGCTTCTTCCGCACTGTCAGCTTAGCTGGGAAAAGTGGAGTAAGTACTATATCGAAAGTCATGTGTTACTATTCCTACCAAGCTGCTTTAACAAATAAGCCGCAGTAATCTAGACAGTTGGGCGAGTTCGTATACATTTTTTTTTTTTGTTTTTGTTGATAATATGAGTTTAAACATAAACATAATTAGTTTAAACATAAAACATAGCTGCTTCAAAACTTCGTCCCGAGAACAAAAGCAATCATTCCGGCTATCTCGAAAAAATATATGTTTGATTCACCCGTAATTGTTTCTGTTTTTTTATTGCACCCAAATGTAGGTATAAATATTTTACACAAAAATAAGATTAAATAAATCGCACAACTACAAGACGTAATTCGCAAAAAAAATGCACATGTCCTTATTGAGTCTGTTTTATTTATAATTCGTTAGCTTTTAAATGCGACCCAGAGGCGAGATGAGTTCGTTCTGGTACGACTGAGAAACAAGTAAAGGAACGAGGTTTGTTTTAACTTAATCAAGGAATATGTCCTTCAGAGAAGTCAATACGAAATGCTGTCACATGTCGACGTAGTCTGCAGGAAAGCACAGCAAAACGCAGCTCCGTTTGTTTCTGGTTCTTCTTGTTTAATATGTTTATTATTTGTTTAAGCTCTTCCCTCGAGCAAACACAATGACACAGTTGAATTCAAAGATGAAGTAATTTACGCATCGCTAGTTCCGAGCAATCACTCAGAGCCACATTCTTGCCACTTGTGATGTGCGTACAGTTCTTTTTTAAATCGTCAGCGTGCAGTGCGAGTTCCGAGTTCGCTGTCTAGATTAGTGTTTCGAGATCTAGTGGATTCACCCGTGCCTCCTAATCTTAGCTTCATCAGTTTTCCTGAAATTTATTTCAGTTCCTCACATTCTCTGCTGGACAAACCTTTCGCTCCCCCCCCCCCCCCTTTTTTTTGTGTGTGAAAGACTAGAGCTGTGATTGTTTTATTTCCCTTGTCATTTCCCTCATATACATTAAAAAATGAACAGAAACGGCACAAGTTGCATTTGGGGCAGTGATGACGAATTGCACATCACTAGCCCTGGACGTCAATGCGGGTGGCAGCCGTCTACTTTGAATGGACCACCACCTGGAGCCGCTGCCTTCAACGAAGCGAGCGAGCGCACCATCAACCGCCAGGGCTTTACTATTCAGAACGTCCTTGAACAGCCTACCGAAGGTCACCTTGGCTCGCTTGCCTACTGGCCTGAACCGCCGGCGAACCTCCAAGACTCGAGCGGCGGATCAGAAGAGCACGTCGTCCTGAACACCATCAAACCGCCAAGGCTTTCCCAGCCGCACGGTGAAGCTTCCGGACAGCACCCCTTGCCCAGGCACTTCTTACAGCTGGTAGAAGTGTCTTGGCAAACCCCGAACCTTCAAGCAACGGTGCTTGCGATCTTGAGAAGACCGCGTCGTCCTCCCCCTTGTATATATCATCTCATAATCATCATCACTAGACGTGGCACCGCGGGCCTGCATGGTACGGGCTGTTGCCTTTCCGCGGTGCCACGGCTCTCCTGAGCCAATAATGATTACGATTACGATTGCAAGCCAAACAACGTACGCCACCAATCCCCCCCCCCCCCCCTTTCCGTAAAAAAAAATCCCACCTTTAAATTTTGCAATTTTGCGTTGTTCCGATAATCTTACCCATTTCGCAAACTAGGTAAACCCCGTGCTAAATGTCGCACTTGCCGAGCAGTCACTTCAGTCCCAACGTAAAAACCGTTTGGCACACTTAGTGGGGTTCTTGGCTGCTTCCACCGCAACGGCCGTACTTCCCGTTCAAGAGCTTCCCACCTCGTGCTAGAACCCTTCCATGGTCCCGTATACAACGTCATCCGCAGTCGTAGACATCTTGGTTCAAATAGAAGTGTGGAAGTGCCCCGCCGCCAGAGTAATCTTTGCAGTAGCCTCATTCACCGCCACACTCATGCCACGTTTCGCGACGCATTTGAGCGGGTGCCGGCCTCTTTAATGGGACTCACTGCCTCCGTCTAACGCAATGGCGATCCAGCGACCTTTCGATGCTCCGTACTGCCAACGCTGTCTCTCTTTTTTCGCGGGAACACTATGGCCGTTACGAGGCCCAAGAATCATCCGACAGATCTTTTTTGCCTCACAACCGCTAAAGAGTGCACTCTCTGACCAACGAATGTGGCGTCATGTGGCGCTTGGCTCGTCGTCCTAAATTCTAATGCCCCGGCGGCTTTCCTGAAGCGGACCAAAAAGACGGGAGCTCTGGAAGCCGTGTAACCGTCCTGATGTTTCCGGTGAGCATCGCCGGGGTTGCTTCACTCGGAACCCGCCGTTATTTTACGGCAATGAAACTCGTAATTCTGGTACTCGCGGTAGTTTTGATAACACGCACGTGGGGCTGAGGCAGTCGGACACACTGGAAGTTCGTAGCACCTATGGTCTGGCACAAGGTGAAGAGAGAGGTGTCGGAACAAGGCCAGAAATGGGGCCGAACTTCCACTCTGTCTTCCCGCATCTCCCGGCGAGACACTGTCGGGTTAGGGCTCGACGCGTAAGTGCCGTCGCGCGCCTCGCGGTCTTGAATATGTATGCTCGAATAACGACGGTTCCTCGAGCTCCTGGTATGCTACGCCATCTCACGGCGTTTTGCTGTAATGGGAGCGATCCTTCGACACACTTGCTCCCTGGCGAGGCGGCCGCCTTTCACACCTCTCTTCCTCCACCGTGCTCTAAACCCGACTTCTATGCACTCCGTTACAACTAAAAAAATTACCTGTAATTCGTTAAATTTATCAGCTATTTTGCAAGGGAATGTTTACATATTTTACAAAGTAGTTATAAAGTAATTTCTTATGGTTTAGGTAAGGGAATGATTGTAATTCGTTACATTTTCGTCTTTAATCACGGACAAAAAAAAACAGGAATCTCAAACATAAAAAAAAAATCGTTCCTTTTTTTTTTTAAGATGAGTTTTATTGCAAAAATATTCCAAAAGCCGGGAATCATAATGATAAAAAAAACTGCACCGACTTTACTCAACAAGAGTAACAATTTAATCAAACGTTTCGTCTCCCATCCGGGAAACATCGTCAGTGAAACCTACAAGCAGGAATGAGGGAAAAAACTTCAACAGTCCTATTTAAGCAAGTCCGCGTACACATCGGGGAGGGGGCCGCGGTTCGAGTTGCAAGCTGATGAGTCACTTCGGATGAACCATGATTCCACGAACCTGCGTGGACCCCACCTTTGTTCGCGCGCCAGAGTGGACGCATTCTCAAAGTCGAAACAGTGACCCGTAGTCCAACAATGGTCTACGAGTTCCGTCTTCGCTCTTGTCGCATGCGTGGCCTTCGCGGGATGAGGACGATTCGTCACATGCGCATTCGTCACAGGACGATTGGTCACAGGATGATTCGTCACATAGGAACATTCGTCACAGGATGACTCGTCATGCGGGCAA